TATACATACACACGCACATATAAGAGCTAACTGTCGAAGGTTAATCAGTATTTATTCATTTTCTATGGAGACTCAGTGTTTTTCTTTTTAATTGTCATAGGCTTATATCATAAAGCCATAAACCCATCTATTCAAAAATACAAATTTTCAACAACAAAAATTCCTTACCTAAGTGTTCAATAATCCTCATATTAGACTTAGGAAAAGTACAACGGAACTGCTAGAACTGAAGAACTGATTTCTAAGCTATTCTTTATTAAAAGTAAGACTATTAGAATATAACACTTTCTGAACATTCATTAAATATTGAAACTCTGTTATTTAGATAGGAAATATAAAACTTAGTGTAAACTAACTAAATAATATTAGAGCAATATGATCATTCCCATTTAAAATGTTCAAAATAGTTTCCAACTTATATATAATAATATGTGTATTCTGGTCCAAATATGACTATAAATTCTTAAATAATTTGCATAAAAATGAACAGAGCAATTGGTATTTCTTTTATGTGACTAAATAAAATAATATTTAGGTATAAGAAAAATTTAACATATTTAGAGCAAGTATATAATTATAATCCTAGTTTAGATGCAACATTCTTTAAGCAATATTCCCAAAGTAACAACCTAGAAGTTTCTTATAGCATTGGGTTTAAGACACACCCTGCCCTATTTTAGTAATCTGTATATGTGTTTGTTATTGGGATTTTTTTGTGATAGTTTGTTTTTTGGTACTGGAGATTGAACCCAGGAGCACTAAACAACTGAGCCACATCCCCATCCCTTTTTATTTTTTATTTTGAGACAGGGTCTCCCTAAGTTGCTTAGGGCCTCGGTAAATTACTGTGTCTGGTTTTGAATTTGCAACTCTCCTGCCTCAGCCTCCCCAGCCACTGGGATTACAGGCATGCTTCACCATGCCTGGCTGTATATGTGTTTTCTTTTCTACCTTGTTTTAGTACTAGGGATTGAAACCAACGGCACTTGGGGTGCTCTATGAGGCCATGTCTTCTTTCTACTTCATTAAATGCTCTGTAACTAATTTGGTTTTGGACATACTACAGTAATATATTGTGCTACAAATAGTAAGTAGTTAATATATGCTGAATGATAAAAATTAAAACTCAACATTCAAAAATTAACTTCATAGCCCAACATGGTGGCATGCACCAGTAATCCCAGCAGCTCTGGAGACTGACACAGAAGGATCACAAGTTTGAAGCCAACCTCATTAACTTAGCCAGACCCTGTCTCAAAATAAATTTAAAAAAATAAATAAATAAGGGTTGGAGATGTAACTCCATGGTAAAGTGCCCTGAGTTCTATCCCACTGCCAAAAGAAATTTTTAAAAGTATGTCATGTACATTTCTATTCACATTTTCTATTCATTAAACTGTATTTTGTAAAATCTTATACATTTTTAAGAATGCTGAAGACACCATTAAGCAATTTTAAAACATTAATTCTAAATGTCCCTTTTCTAAAATTTTGTATTGTTTTTCTAATGACACTATGCTTTCTGCAAAGAAATGGTATGTCACCAGAAGTTCAGCTTCCAAAACATGTGAAGGTATTATTAATTTTGAACCCATCATATGCAATGTCTGTAAACTTAAACATTAAATTGCAAGGCAATTCTTTTGTATCTCTAGCCCTGACAATACTTCTAAAGACCATTTTGACTATTTCTTCCCTTATTACCACCTTCTTCGAAATACTTTAATCTGTGCTCCTGGGGTTTTACCATCCACCAGCAAAATCTACCCTCTGGAAAAGAACATAGACTTACCTACACTTTCACTCACTTATGTAAAGAGGCAAAGGAAAGTCTGGTGTAGGATCTGTCTCTGGTTTCTGTGTTGGATTTCCTTATGTAATCTTGCCAAGACTCTGTTTCCACATGTATAAAATTAAAGTCAAAATTAATCATTCCAGGGCTGGGGATGTGGCTCAAGCAGTAGCGTGCTCGCCTGGCATGGTGCGGCCCATTTCGATCCTCAGCACCACATACAAAAAAAGATGTTGCGTCCCCCGATAACTAAAAAATAAATATTAAAATTCTCTCTCTCTCCCCCCCCTCTCTCTTAAAAAAAATTAATCATTCCTGAAATCCGTTCTAGCTCAGGTTATCTCCCTTAGACATGTTTATAGTTGTGTGCATTTATCATTCATTCACTCAGCTTTATATAGCACCTAAAATAGGTAATCAAATACTGTTATTTTAATACTTACTTGTTAACTGAAAACCTATTTTGTGCCAAGCATTGAACTAGATGATTGAAATCTAATCATAGAGATCCACCCAGTGCTATTGAGGAACTTGAGAGAAAAACAACTGAAGAAGAGATCAAAAAGGCAAATATAGCTAAAATTCCCCCAATTTGGGCGCAAATGTCAAATCCTTTTAAATGTGGCTGGTAAGTACAGGGACATAAACACTATGTTGAGGGCTGGGGATGTGGCTCAGCGGTAGCGCGCTCGCCTGGCATGCGTGCGGCCGGGGTTCAATCCTCAGCACCACATACCAACAAAGATGTTGTGTCCGCCGAGAACTAAAAAATAAATAAATATTAAAAATTTAAAAAAATAAAAATAAAAAAATAAACACTATGTTGAGTTTTCAGTGTTGAACTCTGGCTAACACAGGAATGTGTGCTTATGTATTCACAGTACATACCCCAATCATAATTTAACATGTTCTCTATGATTCGTCGATGAATGTGAGTCCCCTACCAGACCCCAAGAGCCGGAACAACATCTGCTTTAGTCACCACTGTTCTCTCACTGCCAGATATGCTGGCCGGCATACCTTTGACGCTTTACGTTGAAAAAGCCGCACTCCATGCATTTTCACTAAATGTTACAACTCCACTTTAAACAATAAGGGATCTATTCTTTAATAAATACAGTCTGCCCCTGAAAATTAGAATATGATTTCCCAAGCATCTTGGACGACCATGTTCATGTTTTTCCAGCTCAAGGAAATGCCTTTTCCCCTAAATAAAATAGACCCCGGGAACCCACCGGAGTTCCTCAGGAAGAGTTAAGCCCTATAGCGGTGCTTGACTCCCACCGTCACCCCTTAGGTCACCTAGGATTTTCAAATCCTTAGGGAGTGGGGCAGTGAGACCTGCGGGCAGGGAGACGCAAGATGAGCTCAGCCCAGAGGAGATCACCAGCCTTCGCTCTCGCGGGGACACGGCCATGAGGATTCAGTAGCCCTTTGGCGCCGCTGCCTCAGGCTGTGGTGCTCAGGAATACGCCGGTGCTGGACGTGGGGTAACAGCGCCCTTTACTGGCCAGTGCGAACTCGCCTCACGGAGCTGTCACGATTCAGAACCCTCCCTCCCCAGCCACGCCCAGGCTCGAGAGATAAAGTACGGAAATCTCCGGAAAGGGCTCTGCGGAACGGAATTTCCTCAACATGTTGTTCCTACACGGAAAGATTTTAATTCGCCGGAATCGACTGGCATTAAGAGGACACCACGAAAAGGAAAGCGCTATCAATGTGACTAGGCTTACTGGACAGACCGGAAGTCCTAGTTGACACGCCACGCGGAGAGCATCCTGGGACCGGAAGGAAGTGAGAACTCCAGCAGCCGATCTGGACGTCCGTAAAGTCGCGTGGTAAGAGGCCCGCGGCGGTTTAAAGCTGCTTGCTGCTAGAACGTGTGGCTCGTGTGCCGAGGCCAGAGTGGCCGAAATCCCGGTGTCGCTGCAGAACGTGAAGCCGAGGGAGAGCCATGGTTGGGAGATCCCGGCGGCSGGGAGCGTCCAAATGGGCAGCAGTGCAAGCCAAGGCAAGTGGCACCACCGCGTATGAAAATGAAGATTTAGGATCGCCACCCTCACCTGGAGACTCCAGCTACTACCAGGATCAGGTAGATGATTTTCATGAGGCACGATCTCGGGCAGCCCTGGCCAAGCGCTGGAGCGAGGTTGAGAGTGGGGATGAGGAGGACGGTGATGAGGAGGAGGAGGTGCTGGCCTTAGACACTGACGACGAAGATGGAGAGAGTGAGGGGGATGAGGAAAATGATGATGATGATGATGATGGTGATGATGATGATGATGGTGATGGTAGTGGAAGCTCCGTGCAGAGTGAAAATGAGGCTTCCGTGGATCCCAGTTTGTCGTGGGGTCAGAGGAAAAAACTTTACTATGACACAGACTATGGTTCCAAATCCCGGGGTCGGCAGAGTCAACAAGAAGTAGAGGAAGAGGAAAAAGAGGAGGAGGAGGAGGCAAAGGTAATTCAGCGGCGTCTAGCCCAGGCCCTACAAGAGGATGATTTTGGAGTTGCCTGGGTGGAGGCCTTTGCAAAACCAGTGCCTCAGGTAGATGAGGCTGAGACACGGGTCGTGAAAGATTTGGCTAAAGTTTCAGTGAAAGAGAAGCTGAAGATGTTACGAAAGGAATCACCAGAGCTCTTGGAACTAATAGAAGACCTGAAAGTCAAGTTGACAGAAATGAAGGATGAGCTGGAGCCATTGTTACAGTTGGTGGAACAACGGATTATTCCATCCGGAAAAGGAAGCAAATATCTGAGAATCAAGTATAACCTCTACCTGAACTATTGTTCCAACATCAGTTTTTATTTGATCCTAAAAGCTAGAAGAGCCCCTGCACATGGACATCCTGTCATAGAAAGGCTTGTCACCTACAGAAATCTAATCAACAAACTGTCAGTTGTGGATCAGAGGCTGTCCTCTGAAATTCGTCATCTACTCAAAGGTGATGCTTTAAAGAAAGAACTGAATGCAAAAGCAAGATTCACCAAGGCCAAGCCAAAGTCTGTTTCAGAGGCTTCTGCTGCTTCAGCTATTGATCTCTCTGATGGTTCTGATATTGATGAAGAAGATGCACTGAAATTCTACAAAGAAATGGATGACAGGCAAAAGTTGAAGAGAAAGATAGAAGAAAATAGCATTGAAGAACAGGCTCTTGAAGATCAAAATGTAAAGAGAGCCATTACCTACCAGATTGCCAAAAATAGGGGACTTACACCTAGAAGAAAGAAAATCGATCGCAATCCCAGAGTGAAACATAGGGAGAAGTTCAGAAGAGCCAAAATTCGAAGAAGAGGCCAGGTTCGAGAAGTTCGTAAAGAAGAGCAACGCTATAGTGGTGAATTATCTGGCATTCGTGCAGGAGTTAAAAAGAGCATTAAGCTTAAGTAAAATTTTTCCTGAACTTACATAAGGTTTTTGGTAATAATTTTAGATCAATAAATTTTTGTTTTAACTGAAGTGATTGTATTTATGTATACCATATAATCTTTCAAAAATGTTAGTCAACAGGCATATTTTGCCTGAGTTATTGATTAATTTATATGCTGTTTGATTTACATTAAAGTCTTACTAAGGAACTGAGAGAGCAGTATGAAGATGCTTGGGGAAAGATATTGTTGAAAAAAGTTCTCCAATATTTTGTCAGGTATTCGCCTAAGAAAATTTCCCAGCTGATTGTGGAACTTTACTGAAACTTATTTGTGTAACTTTTCACATTCAGAGAATGCAACTCTGGCAGTCAACTTATTTGTAACATAACCTATAAAATAGTTCTGGTGTATATTTCATTTACCCACCTACGATTCTTGAGTAGGATTCTTATTAATATGTGGATTTAAGGTTAAACTGAATTTTGCACATTCTRTGGTAAAAGCATGGGAATAAAGAATTTTAGCTAAAAGTAGAAAAAGATATACCTAAATTATAGCAATTTGTGAATACTTTCTAGTAGTCTTTCATGTGGTAAATAAGGCAAAAGTTCCATTTTCCCCTTTTTTTTGTGGTGGTAATTTACAGTGGTTCCTGTTAATATTCATATTCCCTTTACTGAAAATTTGTTATGATTGCTAGTAGGTAAGTGATGACTTTAAGTGGTAACAAAGTTACAATTTTATTTATAGTTATTCTAATCTTCATAATTGAAAAATATTGTTAGTGCACCTAAAAATACTTAGGATGATACCAGGGAAGAAAATGAGAATATATTGAAGGGAAGCACAAAAAAGCATTACCACTGCCACTGTTTATTCATTAAACATTATGTTAGGGATGTAGTGTGGATCCATAGTAAACACTTGCCAAGTAACAGTTGTGTATCACCTCATCTAATCCTTAAGTAGTACTATTCTCTCAGTATCACAGATGAATATGCTGAAATTCTAGGTCAGCTTTCTAAAGGATACTGATGTGAACCCAAACTAACTTAAGCTGAGCATTTGTTCTCAACCTCTGGTTTACAGCTGCTTCCTCAGGGTAACATGCCAGTTTATTTTCTTGTTTGTCTTATAATGAGGTAAGTTAAAAATAACCGTAACACTTACTACTGACTAAGGTACTTTTCTGAGCACCTTATTTGTACTTATTTCCCTACTCCTCAACAGCCTGATGTGATAAATTGTATTATTCACATTTGGAGATGAGGAAAATGAATTTTCTCAAGGTTACACAGTCACAGGGTTTCAACCCAGCCTTTCTGACTTCAAAGCCTAATCCAATACTTCTTTTCTGCTAAAGTAGAAAACACGGGCATACAAGTTTGGAGTTAACTCACCAGAGAGATTTTTGTGGTTTCTTGTTTTTTTGTTTTGTAGACTGCTCCAGACTAGGCTGTCTGTATAGTTTGTCTAACGTGTATCCCCAACCACCAGGAGAATTTTGAGTTAACTGAACTCAGATGAGTAGTAAGGGCAGACTATAGTTAAGACTACTCAAATTCCTAAGCCAGCTCCATCACTAGTACCTGTGACTTTTTGGGTAAGTTAGTTGGTATCTGTTCCTCAGTTTTTTCCATCTAAAATCTGAGTAATAACAGTACTTATTTTGTGGGGGTTATTATGAGGATTAATCATGTCAAGCACTTAGAACAGTATCTATTACATAGTAATCACACAAAAAGTGTTAGCTTCTCAGTAAAAAAGTTAACACCCGAAGTTTTGGGAGAAATGAGGGAAGTATTGTGTAAGGAATACTAGATTTAGAAAATCTGGGACAGGGCCAAAAAAAGGAGGACATGAAGTTGAAAGACTGAAAGAATGGTTAAGAACAAAATGTTTTTAAAGGAATAAAAATCTCTGATTTAGGAAAGTGGAAAAAATTAAACCTGACCTTCCTTCAGAGACTTAACAACACTTTATAAATAATTCATTCTGGAATAGATAGGATGTAGATGGTGCTATCCTATATTATAAACACAAAATGTAATTGCTGGGTTTAGTATTTACATCTCCAGAATTTTTAACATTTAAAGTAGCCAGGCATGGTGGCTCACACCTGTAATCTCAACAACTCTGGAGAGTGAGGCAGGAGGATCACAAATCCAAAGACAGCCTCCCTAACATAGCAAGACCCTGAGCAACTTAGTGAGACCCTGTCTCAAAAATTTAAAAATGGGTTTTAGGATGTAGTGACCCTGGGTTCAATCCCCAATATTTAAAAAAATACATTTAAAGTTTTAAACACTGAAATGGGGGTGGGGCTGTGGCTTAGCTGTAGAGCCCTCACCTAGCCTGTGTGAGGCCTTGGGTTCAATTCTCAGCACCACATAAAAACAAAACAAAAGTGTTGTGTCCAACTACAACTAAAAAGTTTTTTAAAAATTAAAAAAAAAACCTGAGAAGTGCTGAGGACTATTCTATTTTCATTTTTCCAGTATAGGGGCTTGAACCCAGCAGTGCTTTACCACTGAGCTTCATCCCCAGCATTTTTGCGCTGAGGCTGGCCTTGAACTTGCAAACCTCTTGTCTTAGCCGTCGCTGAGATTTCAGGGACCAGCATCCCTGACTTGAGTACTATTCTGAGGTATGAATAATAAATTGCTACAGTGTGGTGGTCATTTTTCACAGTGATGAGCCTCAATATAAAGCACAACCTGTTTGGTTGGTTAGGGTGGTAATGGGGTTGAATCCTGGGACTCATGCATGCTAGGCAAACACTACCACTGAGCCACATTCTCAGCCCACAACCTGGTTTTATGATAGCATGTTAAAATACGGACAGCTGGGCTGGGGATGTGGCTCAAGTGGTAGCGTGCGTGCCTGCCTGGCATGCGTGCGGCCCGGATTCGATCCTCAGCACCACATACAAACAAAGATGTTGTGTCCACCGAAAAACTGAAAAATAAATATTAAAAAAAATTCTCTCTCACTCTCTCTTTAAAAAAAAAATACGGACAGCTATGGGAAATATTAAAGTAGACAAAAATGTCAAATTAGTGATCCAGCACCTTACTCTATTGTTAACCAGCTGATTGGTTTTGGACTAGTTTTTTCTAAACTGGTTTCTTAACAATATTCTTTATAAGAAGTTAAATAAGCATGCTCCTTTTGTATAGAAATAAATTTTATTAACCTAAAAACTACCTAATAGTAATGTTTGGAGAACTAGAAAGTTACCTTTTGTAATCTTAAGGCTAAAATTAGCTTACAGCTGGGCAATTTGGGAGGTTGAGGCAGGAGGTTTCCAAGTTTGACAATAGCCTTGGGAACTGTCATTGAAAATTCTTTAAAAAAGGATAGGAGATATAGCTCAGTAGTAGGCAAGTGACCTAGGGTTCAATGCCCAATACCAATTTAGGAAAGATGAAACAGTATACATGTCAGGGATCACAATGATGAACATTGAATAGATGATCCCCCCAAAACGCAGGATTTAATTAAAATTTTAAATCATAAAAGCTGATTTTTCTTCTGGTATAAATTATATAATTTTTTCAGATACTCATCCCCATTTGTTGTTGTTACTTTAGCTTCGTTTTCCAGATGATATATTTTCTTGATTCTTTAAGCTATCCTTGAAAAAGTGAAGCTTTCAATAACAGTAAATATAAAAATCAACATTTGTTAAACTATGAAGCAAAAACTGACAGAAACTAGTAAAGCGTTTTGCCTTTAGAAAGACACAGGTAGGGTAGCAATTAGAAGCTTGTTCTCTGGAGTCAGACTGAGTTCGCACTTTTGCTTCTCTAGTTTCATCGTTTGTCATGTGTCTTTGATGTACTTACTAATCTCTCTGCCATTTCCTCACTCTGAATAACATATGACCTTTATGTTCATTTAAGTAGTTAATCCATATAACATATTTAGAAAAGCACTTGGAAGGTAATATGTAATTAGTTACTATTAATCCATTTTTTAAAAACTACTTTGTTTGAGTTAATTTCTCCTTGAGTCTACCATAATCTAATTTAGAATGCCCAAGAATCAGTTGGTAAATTTAAAATGCGGGTTTCTAAGGACAGGCATGATGGAGCACACCTGTAATGCCAGCAACCTGGGAGGCTGAGACAGAAGGATCTCAAGTTTGAGGCCAGCATCAGGAACTTGGCAAGAGACCCCATCGAACAAAAAAATTAAGAAGAGCTGGGAATTTAGCTCACTGGTAAAGCTCCCCTGGGTTAAATCTCCAGTACCCAAAAATAAAATACAGATTCTTATGCCCTATCTCACATTCTTGATTCAGCAGGCCTAGTGTGAGGTCCAGGGATTTCTTAATTTTAAACAGGCACTGTACAAGATTCTGATCCAAATGGTCTGTAGTAAACACTGGGAAACATTGCTCTGGGCACACTGATTTTTAGAGTCTGCTGAAAATAATGTCCCTACACTACCAGAGCCATAGGATGGGTCTAATCAACATTTTACATTCCATGTCAGTAGGTTTCTGGACTTCCTGAAGACAAGAGTCCATGAACCTTAGAAAACCTTACACTCAGGGAATATTATTTTTTCCATGGGTAGAAGAAGGAATTATTCAAATTAAGTAAATGACAACAAAATTTTATTAAGTGATCTTTTTAGCCATATTTTACACCACATTGAATATAAAAGAAAATTTAAGCCAAATGAAAATAAAACTTCCCCAGATGGCCACAGACAGAATCAAAGAACTTGGATAGGATCTTAGGCATTTGAAAAATGAAGGAGGACTGGGAACTACTTAGAGGAATACATTTGTACCCTGTAAAATGGAGAAGATAGACCTATTATAATTAAAGCAATTAACTGCTTAAATAAGATGCTATTGGAACCTCAAAAAGAAGCATGTAGGGAGAATGAAGAAAGTTTCACGATATATTCAAGCAGAATCTTGGCAGGAAGAATGAAAAAGTGGATATGGCAATAGGGGAATGCCAAACAAAGTTTTAGCCAACAGCTACAGAAGTAAAGCAAGGTAGGAAGATAACACTGGAAAGCTAGGGGTTAGATGACGAAAATCCTCCTAGGTGGTTAAGGAGTTTATATTGTATCCCAGATAAGGAGAAACCAACCAAGATTTTTGAGAAATGGTACAACATATTGGTCAATCTTCAGAAAAGTAAATTATACTACCCCTAATAGCTGCTGTAGGGAAGGGAACTAGGATGCATTAAAACTAGAGGCAGACATTAAAACAAGAGGCAGAAGGGCTGGGGTTGTTGTGGCTTGCCTAGCATGTGTGAAGCTCTGGGTTTTTCTCAGCACGGCTTATAAATAAATAAAGATCCACTAACAACTAAAAAATATTTAAAAAAAAAAACTAGAGGCAGGAACCAGCTGAGTCTTTTGCAATAATATTAGCAAGCAAAGAATAACAAAGCAGAGAGAACAAAGGGATATTTGATAGAAACCTGGAGAGCATAAGAATTGAAACAAAATAGATGAAGTCATTAGAAGGAAAATAAAAGCAACCAACCAGATGACTTCAGCAACATTATTAAAATATTAAACACTAAATAGACACAAACTCCTATGGGTTTGGGTCTCTTAATACCCAAGGAACACAGCCTTCCTGTTGGTAAATCTTCATTAAAGATATAATTATTTATTAATCAAAACAGCATTTCAGCTGGGTGCCCTGGCACACATCTGTAATCCCATCGGCTGGGGAGGCTCAGACAGGTGAATTGCAAGCAAAATTCGAAGTGCTAAGCAACTCAGTGAGCCCCTGTCTCTAAATAAAATACAAGATAGGGCTGGGGATGTGGCTCCGTTGTCGAGTGCCCCTGAGTTCAAT